AGCAACTTTGCGGACAAAACTTCTTTTAATTTAGTCTCAAGATTCCTTTTAAAACTCCTCTTCATAAATTCGAGCAGATTCCCCCTGGTCCTGGCTCTCCAGGCCTTTGGAAGTAATTTCTCCCTGTATTTCTTTGTCAGCTCCTGGAGACACTGGAAGGTGAAATCATGTCACCCCGAAGCTCCTCTTCCTCGGGCTGACCAAACCCAGGCAAAACGTCCAAAACCCAACAAAAAAACCCAAAACAAACAAACAAACAAACAAAAAAACCACCTTAGGTCTCGTCCTTCCCTTGTCGTTCTGCTAGCTTAGAAACTCTGCAATTATGTCTCAATTGCTTGCTAAACGATGTGGTGATTGAGGGGCCTTCCGGCTGTTACCACAATTCCTCAGAGCAGAAACAATTACTCAGAACCTCGGGGAAGTTAATGACGGGCAAATTGCTAAACAAACATTCCCCAACGTCGTGTTAAGTACCCCAATTAAACTCCCATTGCACGTTTTAAAGATCCTTTGATAGGGAACCCTGAGCACGCCGTGGAGTAATGCTCCCGGAGGAAAAAAATAAAGGACAAATGAAAACCAGAGAGGCTTTTGTGCAACACCAACAGAGGTTTAATGTCAGACAGAAGAGCAACAGCCGAGGGCAGGGAACCCAGGTGATCCCAGGGACAGCAGGGGATGCAGGACTCGTGCTCTGGGAGCAGGGCCTTGCTCAGGAGCGGGATAAGCAGGGGATGGAGGGGTCAGGGCACAGAGAGGGGATGGAGGGCTCAGGGAATCCCGAGGGGATGGAGGGCGCAGGGAATCCCGAGGGGATGTGAGGTCCGGTCACAGAGAGGGGATGGAGGGGTCAGGGAATCCCGAGGGGATGTGAGGTCCGGTCACAGAGAGGGGATGGAGGGCGCAGGGAATCCCGAGGGGATGGAGGGCTCAGGGAATCCCGAGGGGATGGGACATCCGGGCACAGAGAGGGGATGGAGGGCTCAGGGAATCCCGAGGGGATGGAGGGCGCAGGGAATCCCGAGGGGATGGGAGATCCGGGCACAGAGAGGGGATGGAGGGCTCAGGGCACAGCCGGGGCTGCTGGGCACACTCAGCTGCCCCTGCCAGCGGCTCCTGCCCGGTGTCCCCATGGCCGGGGCTGGCCTCCAGGGCTGGCACAGCCGCTGGGGGCTGGCACTGCCAGGGCGGCTTTAGAAAACCCCACAGCTCCCGCGGCGGGACCTGCGCCATCTCTGGGAGCAGGGCAGGGAATAGCCCAGGCCCCGCGAGGAGAAGCCGGAGCTGTAGGACCTCCCGCAATTGCCAAAGGAGCCCCCATAGCCCCCCAGGGAGCCCCCATAGCCCCCGAAGGAGCCCCCATAGCCAATGTCACCTCCATAACCCAGGGAACCCCCATATCCAAGGGAGCCCCCATAGCCCCCACAGCTCCCCAGGCCAAAGGAACCCCCATAGCCCCCCAGGGAGCCCCCATAGCCCTGGGAGCCCCCATAGCCTGAGAAACCCCCATAGCCCTGGGAGCCCCCATAGCCCTGGGAGCCCCCATAGCCCCCATAACCTCCCAACCCAAAGGAGCCCCTATAACCACGGGAGCCCCCCAACCCAAAGGAGCCCCCATAGCCCTGGGAGCCCCCAAAACCTCCTGAGCCAAAGGAGCCCCCATAGCCAGAGGAGCCCCCCAAGGCCAGGGGACCCCCAGAGCCTCCCAGCCCAAAGGAGCCCCCGTAGCCCGGGGAGCTGCGGGAGCTGAAGGAACGCTCCAGCCAGGCTGGGCCCGACGATCCCACAACGCTCTCCTGAGGGAAGGTGCTGAGCACGGGGCCCGGGATGGTCACCACCACCGGCGGGGGCAGGATCACAGCTCTGGAGTCGGGGCACTGCTGCACACACGGCTCGTTGGAGCTCTCCGCGATGGGCTGGGGGCAGCTCACGCCGCACGACTCGCCGGAGTAGGACATCCTTCTGTGCTGGGAGGCTGCAACGCACAGCAGAGAGGACTTAAAAGCTAAACTGGCTGAGATGCATCAAAATTAAACTCTGTGTCTGAAATATTAGTGGGAAACAGGTGAATTCAATGATGATATCAAAGAAATCTCATTGTTGTATCACCTCCACCTTTAGGCTTCCTCTCACCACAATCATCCTTGCATGAGAAATTCTCTGCTGGATAATTAATCAAACTTGTAGCAGCCTGTGGCAAAGATTCAGTCAAAGGTGTAAGACCCGCAAAAAAGAAGCGAAGAGGAAAAGGAAGAAAGGCTCATTGACTTTATGCAGTAATTCAGATTTTCTGGAGATGCGTGGCACCACTTACCTTGTTCGCTGCAGGGATGGGAACAGGAGCAGTGGATGAAGGTCTGTGGGTGACCTGAGCTTTTATATCCTCCTCAAAGCCACCCATCCTCGTTTATTACAAAACCAACGCCACAGTGGGTGCTTCCATTCTGTCACCTCAGCACTCCCAGACTCGCGTGGCTATGACACAACTGCTGATGGCAATCAGCTCCCTCTGAGAGCAATCCAAGGCGATTTGGGGAATTTGGGGCTGAAGGGTGGTCATGGAGCCATCAATTAAAGCCAGCTCTGGTTCACTCCAATTTTATTGTCCTTTTAAATTGGGACATTTTAATGGCCACGGTAACTCTTCCATGGTGTGGAGCCCTTTGTGGTGCCACCTTCACCAGGTGAAGGTCACCCAACTGGACCTAAAATTGTGGCTGTGAGAGGACACGAATTCTCCTTGTAGCTGAGTAGGGATCTACAAACGTTGTCTCCAAAGAGGCAGAAATTGGTACAGCCAGAAGAGGCCTTAGCTTAAAACTAATTCCAATTTCACGATTTCATTTGAAATCTCAACTTCTAGAAGTTCAGTTTGAAATACATTAAAAAATCTTTATTTTCTCCCCCCCCTCCCCCCGTGAAGTACTGACCACTACAGAAAAAAGAGAGAATTTATTAAAGTAGTAATAAAATAAAATATACTTTATTAGGATGAGTCTGGAACATCCTGCAGTTATTTATTTTCTTTCCTCTTGCAACTGTTCTCTAATTTTACAATGTTGCAAAAGAGAAGCAATAAATTACCTCTAAATTGTAAAATAGCTCTGCTTGTGAAGTGTCATCAGGATTTGCTGATAATAATGAGAGGTACCTGGAGGATAATGACTTTAAGCTGCCTCACAAATACTCATTAATAGTCAGTGCTTGCAATTTCTGTTATTATCCTATTAAATGGAGGCTGGGAGTTATGAGGATTTATTCTGAGTTAGGAGCTCCCTTATTATGAAACAGCATAATTTAAAATACGCCAATCAATGTCACTCCTCTTGATTCTCTAATTAGCCTCTGATTAATAATTTCAGTGCTGGCAATGATTTAATTTTCATTCATGAGCTCAAATTCTTCATTTTATTAACTATTAATGTGTTTGGGATGATTACGACAAGTACCTCATGTGCCATATCGAGTGCAGCTTCTTAATTTATGAGGCAGCATTTTGCTGAAATATCTTAAATTTCAGGGGAGAAATTAAAGCCTGATTGCAAATCATCTGAATTTTCAGGCTTAACCATCAGTGTTCTGCAAAAAAGTGGGCTCAGACTGATTTTCTAAATTCTCTGCTCTTGGAGTCTCACCTGTAAATATTTTGTCCATGAAATTGTTCCTCATGACACAGAGGCCTCAGCTCACACGTCGCTGAACTGACGCTCCTGCCCCAGTTTTGGGCGCTGACGTTTCTGTGTTCGAGTCTAACACACCAAATATGAATTTCCTGTGGGCATTCACGAAGCCCCTGATGGTCCTGGAAGGATCTGGAACATCCCCCGGGTGTCACTGCCTCGGTGACATTCCAAAGCCAGCAGGGCATGGAGCAATGGAGCCCACCTTGGAATTGTTGAGTAATTAATGGCATTTGAGCTGCAAACACAGCTCTTAAAACCCCTCACGTTTCTGAAGCACTTGGAGATAACTTATTTTCTTCATTTTTGATACCCCTCTACCCCCTCCATATTTTTGTGCAGATCCCATGGATTTTCACGGGATTCACTTAGATTTTAAAAGGCAAAGTTAATTAATCTGAGCTCATCAAACCCAAAGACAGCTCGTGATGGGGATTATTATCTCATCATTCACCAACTCGATGCCCTCAAGTCTGTCCTGACATGGCCTCACGCCTGTTTTTGCGCGTGGGGAGTGGCAGTGCAAAGCCAGCAGAATTAAATCCCTCCATGTGAGGGTTGTTTTGTGTGGGACCGGAGGCACGGAGGGCGTTTTGTCCTTGTAAGCACTTTGGGAAATGTATAAAAGCTGCCACCACTCCGAGCCTCTCCACCACATCTCCTGGGTTATTCACCTTGGTGAACAGGGTAAGTCAAATTTGAACTCTTCTCTCCCTCTATCCTTCTTTTTCCCCATCCAATTCTTTGATGTTATGGATTGGCAGATTGAAAAACTGTGCGTCTCACAAGGTTGTTGTAGAATAAAATCTGAATTTTCAACTTGCCACCTGGAATAACCATTTCAAGGCATTTTAGGTACAATGAGTAAAATTTAAAAATACCTGCATGACCATTCCCACCTTGTGGGAATATAAGGGTGAATTTTCTGGTTTGGAAGCTGATGGCTACTTGGGAGAAGATATGAAACTACAAAAATTGCTGCTTTGTATCGGACACTTCTTAATTTCCTACAGATACATTGTTAGATTTCAGTTGGTCTTTATAAATTATAATGAGATAAAATGAAATTTGTCACAGAGTAAGAAGTGTCACCAGAGATGACACCAGATGTTTTCATTTGAGTGGGACATCTCATGGACCTTGACAGCAACCAGAGTATAGAATGTGATTTTTGTGGTCACATGAGAGACAGATTTGGAAAGCAATGAACTCTGGGCTCTCACATTTTCCATAGCAAAGCACAGGAAGAGCCAGGTGGAAATTTCTGGATCTGAAACCTTTCTCCTGCTGTGCGTTGCAGCCTCCCAGCACAGAAGGATGTCCTACTCCAGCGAGTCGTGCGGCGTGAGCTGCCCCCAGCCCATCGCGGAGAGCTCCAACGAGCCGTGTGTGCAGCAGTGCCCCGACTCCAGAGCTGTGATCCTGCCCCCGCCGGTGGTGGTGACCATCCCGGGCCCCGTGCTCAGCACCTTCCCTCAGGAGAGCGTTGTGGGATCGTCGGGCCCAGCCTGGCTGGAGCGTTCCTTCAGCTCCCGCAGCTCCCCGGGCTACGGGGGCTCCTTTGGGCTGGGAGGTTCTGGGGGTCCCCTGGCCTTGGGGGGCTCCTCTGGCTATGGGGGCTCCTTTGGCTCAGGAGGTTTTGGGGGCTCCCAGGGCTATGGGGGCTCCTTTGGGTTGGGGGGCTCCCGTGGTTATAGGGGCTCCTTTGGGTTGGGAGGTTATGGGGGCTATGGGGGCTCCCAGGGCTATGGGGGCTCCCAGGGCTATGGGGGTTCCTTTGGCCTGGGGAGCTGTGGGGGCTATGGGGGCTCCCTGGGGGGCTATGGGGGCTCCCTTGGATATGGGGGTTCCCTGGGTTATGGAGGTGACATTGGCTATGGGGGCTCCTTCGGGGGCTATGGGGGCTCCCTGGGGGGCTATGGGGGCTCCTTTGGCAATTGCGGGAGGTCCTACAGCTCCGGCTTCTCCTCGCGGGGCCTGGGCTATTCCCTGCCTTGCTCCCAGAGATGGGGCAGGTCCCGCCGCGGGAGCTGTGGGGTTTTCTAAAGCCGCCCTGGCAGTGCCAGCCCCCAGCGGCTGTGCCAGCCCTGGAGGCCAGCCCCGGCCATGGGGACACCGGGCAGGAGCCGCTGGCAGGGGCAGCTGAGTGTGCCCAGCAGCCCCGGCTGTGCCCTGAGCCCTCCATCCCCTCTCTGTGCCCGGATCTCCCATCCCCTCGGGATTCCCTGCGCCCTCCATCCCCTCGGAATTCCCTGAGCCCTCCATCCCCTCGGGATTCCCTGCGCCCTCCATCCGCTCGGGATTCCCTGCGCCCTCCATCCCCTCGGAATTCCCTGAGCCCTCCATCCCCTCGGGATTCCCTGACCGCTCCATCCCCTCTCTGTGCCCTGACCCCTCCATCCCCAGCTTATCCAGCTCCTGAGCAAGGCCCTGCTCCCAGAGCACGAGTCCTGCGTCCTCTGCTGTCCCTGGATCGCCTGGATTCCCTGCCCTCGGCTGTTGCTCTTCTGTCTGACATTAAACCCCTGTTGGTGTTGCACAAAAGCCTCTCTGGTTTTCATTTGTCCTTGTATTCTTGTGGTGGGATATTCACTCTTTTGCTGGGAAGAGATGCCTGGAGTTCCTCATTTGGCCAAAGCCTTGGTCTTTGTCATTTGGGGAAAGGAGGCAAAGAGACAGGAGGAGTTGGATGCAGGAAAACTTTATTGTACGAAGAAGGGCAGGAGAGGCAGGGCTGGGGACGGCGGCAGCCCCCGGGCAGGCCGGGTGTCACGGGCTGCAGGAGGCCAGGGCAGCTTGTGCCGAGCTCAGCTTCTCCACGCTGGGCTGGGGCGGCGGCGGGGCTCTGGGGCTGCTGGTGGTGGCTCTAGCAGGGCCCGCAGGTGTCCCAGAGCCTCCTGCTGTAGCGGGGCAAGGCGCAAGGGCTGCAGGCGGCAGCAGCGGAGGCTCTGCCAAAGGTGCAGAGGCCGCCCGAGGCCTGGGTGGCACCGGCGCCGTAGAGGCCGCCCAGCCCCAGGGAGCCGCCAAAGGCCGGTGCTCCGGAGGAGCCCACCATGGCCTGCTGGGGGAAGGAGCTGAGGATGGGCCCGGGGAAGGTGACCACCACGGGCGGGGGCTGGATGAAGGCAGACGAGTCGGGGCACTGGCGGGCGCACAGCTCGTTGCAGCTCTCAGCGATGGGCTGGGGCACAGCCACGCTGGTTCTGGGCGGGCACAGCTCCGCGCTGCTCCGGGGTGGGCACAGGTCGTAGCAGGACATCTTGGCCTGGGATGCGAGGCTGAAAGATAATTCAGAAAAACTGGGGTTAGAACGACCATGGGGATCTCCCGATTCAGCTGCGGCTTTTTCCCCGAGACCTGACAAAGGCCTTGAGTCGCCAAAGCCGCACAGCCTTGCCCACCCTGCCCAGCACTGGCCCTGTGCCCTGCAGCTCCCTCAGAGCCCTGATCTTCACACCTCCAGACCTCACAATCCCTGCCCAAGTCCCTGCCCGGCTCCATCTGTCCTGTCCAAGGGATCATAGCAGGACATCTTGCAGGCTTGAAGGTTGGTTTGCAACAGAGACACGAAAACTATAAAAACTCGGAAGTTGATGAGAGACATTTTCAACATGAGTGAAATCACTGTGTTGTGGTTTGTGTTCAACCTTCATTGTCATGCTGAAAACCCAATGAGCACCTTGATCCAAAAATTCCTGCCTATGTAAAACCGTCCCCATAACGACCAGACCCCACAGACTGATCTTTGTTCTGGCCCCACATAGTTGTGTCATTCAGGTTTTGGAAATGCTTATAAAAACCTCAGTCCCATCTCCCATTAACTTCCCCAAAGTTGGGAAGTTGGGAAGATCTGGGGACTCCCAAAGATTTGGATACTCCCATATCCCACATTTCCCACTGGTTTCATTAAGAGTAATTCCAGACAGAAATTATGTAAAGCTGTTCTAAATTTCAGCATTCCCAAAGGAATCTTCTACTGCTCTGGTTCAGACTCTGATTAAATAAACAGAAAGGAATTAAAAATTCATACTCACTAAGCTCCACAAGGCGAATGAGCTGCGAGAAGTGTTTGTCCAGCACCCAAGCACTGGAGCTTATATAGAGGATCCCAACATTCCTGAGGGTTTGGAACTTCCTTGGGGTGGGGGTTCTGCCTGAAAGAAATTGTTTGCCAGCTTTGAGTCACAAAAGTTTGGAGTTTGTGGCAGTTCTGATTTCATTCATATTCTCCTATCGTGTGATGTTGGAGTTTCACCATCCTGATTTCTTTAATCTTGGGTCTTAATTGGCACTGGCAATTCTTGGCATCATTAGAGTGACCTCACTGGAATTACCATGTTCATTAAGCTGACTCCACATGTTACTTCTTCCTTTACAACCTTGTCATGATCTTGTCTGCTCCAAGATTTTGTAAGACTCATCTTTGGCTGACATGGACATTTTTCCTTAACAGCCCTTTAAAATTATCTGATAAATTAATTAGAAGCAGAAACCAGCTTATTCCAGAACTACCCAGGGACAAATGTCATTTCCAGCTGTAATTAAAGAGACCTTGTTGGTATGAGATGGATTTAAAGGGTCATGAATATCTGCTGAGATCATCCAGGACACTCAGCAGTCCCCCAATAGTTTTGCATTGAGAGGGAGGTTTGGAATCAATTCTACATAAAAATCACTTTGTTTAAATAAGAAGGATTTAGTGGAAAATAAAATTCAGTTTTAAATGGGTCAATGGTGCTGAATGTTCCCATATCAAGTCCTGTGATTCCAATTCTGAAGAAAAACCAAAGAGGCAGATCAAGGTTTTTCTTTAATGTCGTGAGTGTAATCTCTTATCAAGAGTGTTCAAGCCCTTCTTGAGAAAAATACTTTGTAATGATTTCACAAACATTCATTATCTGCTGTTCAACCCAGCTAATGTTCGGTGTTGTATTACACGAGTGATTTAGACATTTCACTCTTACACAACCCCAAGCTGCTTTAATGTGCAGGAAACAAGGTGGTGCCTGCCATTACTTTGATTAAATCATGATTTGTGCCATTGGAAGTCAAGGGTTAATGATTAATGCAGTTCTTCTTTTCCTTCTTTAAAAAAAAAATCCTTTCCATATCCGTGGTTGAATCCTCTGTGAGTTTAGGATTCCACCTTTGCTGTATTTGATTTATTTCAGGCTATATTTTCCATTTAAAAAAAAAAATTGTGATTATTTACCCTTTTCCTATGTTTTTTTCAGAGCACAACTTTTAGGTTTTCACCTGTATCCGGTGCATTTTACAGACCTTTCTGGTCATTCCTGAGAAATCCCCCCAGACATCTGCTCTTAACTCCTACGCTGAAGATTGGTTGTTGTGGTCCAGGTTCACACCAATATTTTCATTTTCGCTGCAGGTGGAAAAGGATTTGGGTTTAGGTTTGTGTTTGGGTTTAGGTTTGTTTATTGCCCCAACAAATTTCCCTGTATTTGCTGCAGGGGAAGGAAAAAATTGATTCTCCAAGCACAGAAAGGGTTTGAGTGGTTCCCACATCTCCCAGCCTGGGGGACATTTCCTTGCTTTGATTTATATTTTACAAAAATCTGACAGTCAGAGTAAGTTGTGCCTCATCCCTGGCTCAAACTCCCTTCAAATCCAACCCCTCGATTTCTCCTGGGCTGCATCAAAACCCCCGAGGGCAGCAGGGGAGGGGAATTCTGCCCTGCTCAGGTGAGACCTCACCTGGAGAGCTGCCCCAGCCCTGGATCCCAGCCCAGGCAGGACCTGGAGAGAGCCCAGAGGAGGCTGAGGATGACCCGAGGAATGGAGCAGCTCTGCTGGGAGGAAAGGCTGAGAGAGCCGGGATTATTCTCTTTGGACAAGGGAAGCTCTGAGGTGACCGCACTGTGGCCTTGCAGGACCTGAAGGCACTACAAGAAACACGGGGAGAAGCTTTTCCCAAGGGATGGAGTGACAGGACAAGGGGGATGGGTTCTGACTGACAAGGAGGAGGTTTAGATGGGATTTTTGGGAGCACAGGGAAGGTCCTGGCACACGATATTCCATGGCTGCCTCATCCCTGGAAGTGTCCAAGACCAGCTTGGACAGGGCTTGCAGCAACCTGGGGTGGTGGAAGATATCCCTGCCCATGGCAGGGCGTGGAACGAGATGATTTTAAGATCCCTTCCCACCCAAACCATTCCATGATTCTGTGATTGCCTCTCTCCACTTCATATTAAAAACACCGTGATTTCAGCCCTCTCTAGACTTCAACATTAATTTGGACGGTTTCTGTGCGAAAAAAACCAAAACATCTAAGTGCAGATTTTCTCGAGCCCCTGAGGAACAAAAGCTGTGAGAGCACTTGGGAAGCACTGAGCAATGATCCCCGCTCCCTGTTTTGTTGTTTTGTACCCTTGCATGTCCCTGGGCTGAGTAAGAGTGCCCAAAGCAGGGAGGAGCTGCCCGGCACCTCAGACCTGATCAGATCGTTCGTAGCCGCTGGGTTTGGCCAGGCCGAGCCCTGCCCTGCTCTAACTTTCCCTTTTGTGTCATCCAGGGCAGGTTGCTCCCCTCAGAGCGGCTCCAGAACTCCCAGGCCCTCCCACAGTGGCTCTCCACAGATTTAAGCAACCAGAAATGGTCAAGTTGAATAACTCTGTTATGAGAAGGCAAGATCTTAAGTGAGTGCTCAGCACCATATAAACAAAAAAAAAAAAAAAAAAAAAAAAAAAAAAAAAATAAAAAAAAAAAAAAAAAAAAAAAAAAAAAAAAGATGATAGCACAAAAATTTGATGCATGAAAGATTTATTGCAGGAACAACTTGAATAAGTCAGAGAGTACAA